TCTACTGCATTTAACCATGTACCCCATCTAGTGATAATTGGTTGAGGTGGTAAAGGTAAATTTGGGAATAGTTCATGTAGTTTGATAATTCGGCTGGGAGCTTTCAAAAATACTTTTTTAATTGTCGCTATTAATTTATCAACAGTAGAATATTCATTTCGTAAACATTCGCTAATTCTATGAATCCCATGTGCCAAACATGTTAAATTAATTAAATTAGGGTATAACATAGTTAAGGAATTCGCTGATTTAACCATGGCGCGGCGTCAGAAACAAAAAGTAAAACTTCTTCGTACTTCACTCCTGATGGCCATAATAGGTGCATTGCATCATTAAATATTTTGCCAATAGTTTGGAAATTACATTTTTCTAGTTCTTTACACATTAATAGATACGGCTTTGAATAATTGTCTTCGTGAAGGAGACCAACTATGACGTTACAAATATATCGACCGTCAACGTCCGTGGTCTCATCTATTGAAACCCAAATTGGCCAATCACCAATTTCCGAACGAATACGAGAAATATCATAGTATTTTCATAAATTGAAGAAACATAGTTTTTGCGAATTGTAGACTGGTCAGGAACACATTTACCAGTATATTTTTCTAAAAAAATTTTAAATGATGGATGATTTAACTTCCATAAAGGTATATCGGATTCTAACATTGCTTGACATAAATCTAGAGGAAAATTCGCTTGTTCATTTTGGTTATCTAATGTATTTTTAATGAACGACTGTTTAGATTTGGCTTTTAAATTAATATTTTTGTTATGCTTGCCTGTATTTAAATGCTTTACCACCTGAAAACGTTTTGTTACGGGCACAGCTTGATCACAAATAATACAATATAATATTTTACCATCTGTTTTAAAAATGTCACTTGAAAAATCTTCTACAAATTGACGTAACTTGGCACTTTCACTTTGAAATTTCGGCATTTTATAAAATTGTTAACTGATACTGTTATTAAAACCACTCAAATTTTAAGTATAAGTGTCCGCACATTTACGCAACACACGTCGTACTAATGAAATTAAATACGTCGTTAAATAATGTGTAGGTAATCCTATCGGTCGTAGATAAGATAAGATTAGATGGGTAATATTTATACTATATATTTACAATTCGACGGATAAACCAAAAACTATCGGTATTATGAAATAAACGCCATTTAAAATTAACAATAATTTATAAAAATTTAAAAATTTAAGTTAAAAAAAAAATAAAAAACATTAAAATCTATAAATATGCAATTATATGCAAAAAAAAATTGATTTTATTTAAACGAGAGTAAGCAAAATCGTGGACAAATTTGACAAACAATCGATTTGGACTTAAGGAAAAAAACATGCAAATGCATATAAATCCTAGCCCTACTTATTAGTGTTATTACCGTATACAAGATAATGAAAAGCTATGTACCTATAGTTATGTGAAATTAACATTTAGCATTCATCAACATATTTTATTATTATATATTATTATTAATAATTATAATTAATAAATAATATAGTTATAATTATCTACTACTCTAAAATATCTAAACTGTATACTAGTTTGAATTATTTCTAAAAGTGTCCATAAATGTATCCAATATCTAACAATAAATTGTGTACGAGTGAAGTCGAATTGTCTATTTTTATTTTCAGTCATATGAACCGATGATGACCCTAATTTATCTAGTAAGTGCCTGTACATTATTATACATAGTCCACGACATTTTTTTTTTTAACTATCCATATTTTCATATTATATTACGCTTTGTATATGAAAGTGATTCAGAACCTAAAAGAATAAAATTAAAACGTTGTTTATTTCTAGAAACTAGTAATCTACATCTTAATGGTAATTATTTTACTTTAATTGTACAATATTTGAGTTTAATTATTTATTATTTAGCTGAGCCTCAGACTATGGATGTTGATGAAAACAATGATTATGACTCTAGTAAATGAAAACTATTTCTATACATAATATATACTGTTTTATAATTATTGTAAATTTTGTAAATATGGATTTCTCATATTAGTGGCTCTGAAGATGAAATTACAGTCATAAGTAAACCGCCTGGACGACCAAAGAACCAAAAAAAACCCAGTATCCGAACCAAATCATCAGCGGAGAGTCGATGACAAAGTTACCAATGAATTTATATTCAATCCTGAAAATAAAATTACAGGAATTAATCCTGACTTAATTTATTCTATGATTGATGGGCTCCACTTCATTTTTATATGCTTTTAGTTAATAAAGAAATTCTAAGGAAAATAGTTGTTGAAACTAATAGATATGCGTTCCAGAAAATTAGAAGTTAACATATATCACCTCATTCCCGTCTAAGTAAATGGAAAGATACAAATATTATTAAAATGAAACAATTTTTGGGAATCCTAATTTGGACAGGTTTGGTTCAATTATCAGCATATGAACTATACTGGAGCAGTTCAAAAATGTATAAGACTAAATTTGGAACTATCATTAGAAGGAATAAATTTGAAATTTTACTACGGATGATATATTTTTCTGACAACTCTCAGATTGACAAAAATAATCGCCTATTAAACTGAGAACTATCACAGATGATGTGATGTTGAATTCAAATATTCAATATAATATATAGGGCGACTCCTGCTGCTATTGGGGCTAAGGTCGAAATTTCACACCCTACCTTTGTTGCAAAGAAACGGTCTTCGATGTAAGATTTAAAGAATAAGTAGTAAGGAGAGGTAGGATTTTTTTTCAATTTGTATAGAATGCCCGAATGCCAAACCTTATCAAATGCTTGGGCCACATCGAGGAGGACGGCTGAGCAGTATTCTTTTTTTTCCAGGGAATTTGTTATTAAGTCTGTCAGCCGATGTAATTGGTGGATGGTTGAGTGGCCTTTGCGAAAACCAAATTGGGTTTGTGGAATGGTTGATACATCATTTATGAAGGGATAGATACGTTTCAATACTAATTTTTCACAGAGTTTAGCGAAGAGAGGCTGAGACTTATTGGACGATATGAGAAGGGATTTCGGGTGGTTTGCCTGGTTTTAAAATCAAAATTATGATAGAAGTTTTCCATTGTAGAGGAAAGTAGGAAAGTCTTAAGATAGAGTTAAATATATGAGTGAAGTTACTAATTGCTTTTTTTAGTAGCTGACGAGCAACTTCAGCAGTAATAAGGTCCAGACCAGGAAATTTTTTTAGAGGAAACATTTTTATATGATATTGGAGTTAACCAGGTGTAAACGATTTTGGGGCTAAATAGAGAGGAAGGGGGAAATTAGAGAGTTTTCAATATAACATATTATGTTTCAAAGGCGTTATTTACAATGTCATGATGTGGTTGAAAGACTTTGGTTAGATGTGTACGTAATAGTTCTGACTTTTCTTTATCCGTTTTACACCAATTATTATCTTCTTTTTTTAGGGGGGAATTTATGGGCTTTTACTTTAAGCAATTCCTAGTTGCCTTCCAAAGAGAGCCATTTTTTGAGGAGAACCATGAACTAAAGTTGTCATTTCTGAGTTGTTTTAGAATTCGTTTTAGTGAAGATGCGACATTATTACATATATTTTTATCGGATAGAAGTTTAGTGCGGTGCCACATAGCTTTAGCACGTTTTTTTTTTGCTATTAGTTCTCGGATATGAATGGGAATTGAAAAGGAGTTTTGGCTTCTAGGAGGGGTTAAAGTAGATGAGCCCCAAGCAGCTGATTGGATTGTTTCTGTGAAATGTTGGACAGTATCTTCAATGTCATAATAAGCAACATGCAGTATAGTTCATCTATTGAGATAGTAATTAGAAAAAATAATAAAGGCAAAAAGATATCCATAGAATGTCCTATAAGCATAGTAGATTACAATACATTTATAGATGGAGTAGATCGATAGAAGGATATTTAATATCGGGTAACGAGGTAGGCAACAAATACAAAGGTATGTCCAGTCCTATCCGTAGAATTATTAGTAATATTATTTGATAAATTTACAATGTACGTACAAATATATGGTACAGTATTTTATTGCTGCAATTTATAAAAGGCCTCGGTGAGCAATTTTACGAAAGTTGTTTCACATTTAATTTCTTTCCGTTCTTATCACTGGGCTCCTGTTCGATCCCATTCCTCTTGTTGTCTCCTTCTTATCATGTTCCGGAATTCTTCGTTCATCTTTCCGAAATCTGGATCAAACTCCGGCCCCTTGGGATGTTCTAATGGTACGGTGGGTATCACATTGAACCATTCACACTGTTGACCAGTACCACCGTCTTGTGTTATTTGTGATTTACCAACGTTTAGTTGTCCCTCTAAAACACCGTCACAGGAGCCGAAAGTGATTTTATCCATATCCAAAGAAAAGTTAAATTTTAATTAGTGTTCAATAAGTTATAATAAGTTATAAATAATAAGTTTGTTAGCGTCACAACTATATGTATTCAAATGTGTACGTGTTTTATTATTATTTTTCGTCACTAACATATAGCTAGTTGTCAACGAACATCGCAACTTATAATATCTAATAATACAGTTTAAATTATTATTATTAATTTATTATGTTTATTTGTGATAAGTGTCGAGGATATAGTAGTTTAAGGAAAAAATCTCAATAAATTAAAAAAAATATTCTAATTACAGGCTTCTTATAATTTATAAATTTAGCTGTACATTATAAAATTTTATGATTTTGTTATTCTTAAGAAAATAGTATCATATTTATTAGTATTGTTCAGGGGTGTCTCAAATAGTGACGTTTCTAGGTATAGACTAACCGGCACAGTCCCTTAATCTAGGCAGAGCCATTCGTAAACAATTTTATGGCAAAGGACGTAGTTACAGAATATACGATGGGAATTTGCCCATAAGTAATGCACAATCGCCAATAACTCACAATCGTAATAAGATAAAGACTTCAAAATTAGATCCAAATATAACTATTGTTATCGTTTATAACTGAGAAATATCCATTTGAACATGACTCGATTTGTTTCTAATCAGTGCGTGTCAGAATGGAGCCTAGTACTGACGTATTGTCAACGAAATTAAAACAACGAGCTGTGATTGAATTTTTAACCGCCGAAAATGTTAATCCGACAGACATTCATCGTCGCTTAAAAGCTATTTACCGTAATAAAACTGTAGACCGAAGTATCTTATTGGGTATCAAAATGTAAATTAGATGACCCTGGTAAAATGAATATTCTGGATAAACATCGCGATGGACGACCTGTAATTGTTACGGATGAAAAAACATCGAATTCAAGTGGACGAGCTTATCAAAAATTATCGTTGAATAACTCAAAACCGCATAGCTGATATTGTTGGGATGTCGCAAGAAAAAGTCGGGTTCAGCAACTTGGCTATCGAAAAATTTGCGCTCGTTGGGTACCGAAAATGTTGACACAGGAAAACAAGAAAATTCGAGTTGAGTGAAGCCAAAAATTGTTGAATCGTTATCACCAAGAAGGAGAGCAGTTTCTCTTAAAAATTGTGACCGGTGACGAAACTTGGGTGCATCACTACGATCCCGAGGAAAAAAGACAGAGTGTGGAATATCGTCATGTCACTTCTCCCTAGCCCAAAAAGTTCAAGGTTCAGCCTTCTGCAGGAAAGATTATGCTTACGGTATTTTGGGATGGAAATCAAGTTTATCTAACGGATTATTTGGAAAAGGGGACAAGTATAAACTCAGCCCGATACATTGAGTCACTGAAAAAATTAAGGAGACGAGTGTGTCGCGTTCGTGGATCAACTGACACCATTTTGTTGCATCACGATAACGCCCGACCTCACACATCAAATGCAACCAGTACCGCTCTCAAACAGTTGAAATTCTAGGTTCTTCAACACCCACCGTATTCACCAGATTTGGCACCTTGTGATTTCCACTTCTTCCCAGACCTTAAGAGAGACCTCAAAGGCACCCATTTCACGTCGGACGAAGAAGTCAAGGAAGCAGAGAAGTCTTGGATAAAAGAGAGACTAGCTACATATTTCAGTGACGGTATGAAGAAACTTGTGACTCGTTGGTTGAAGTGTATATCTGTAAATGGTGATTAAATTGAAAAATAAAGGTATTAATTTCTAACTAAAGAAGTGTATTTTTATATATATTTTTTTCATTTCAATTATCTCTCTGCATTTTCGAAAAATTCACGATTGTGCATTACTTATCATTTGCCCCTCGTATTTTTCCTCCTACTCTGAAATAAATTTGTATTTGTTGATTTAACTTCATAATGAACGATGGAGGCCGTGAAGTAGTAATATCTACTGTGACTCAGTTCTTTTTCCACCCACAATACGTAGGTCAAAAAAGGTAATAAGATTTTTCAGGTTCAAAACTTAAGACAAAGGAAATCTTAACTGAGACCTCCATATTATACCTATTCAGACCTATTGGCTTTAATAAATCTCAAAAAAACTAGATTAAGTATACTTATAATGTAATGCTAATATTTAATTTTGTGTTGTAAATTACGTAATTTTATAATATCTCTCAATGTCGCTCTTTTTACATAAGCTTTATAAGAAGATATATCGTTACTATATAGTTATATTTTTTAATAATTATTCTTCTAAAATATTTTGTTTCATTACAGTTTAAAACATTTACAATGTTGTATTTCTATGTGATTTAATAATAATGGCAAAAATAATGTGGTGTTAACTAACACTACACGGGATCACATACTTTAGGTATGAATCGTTTCATTCAGCATATAAAATGAATTCCCCCAAGCACAGTATTTTTAAAGAGGCCATGATATTTAAGACTACTAAAATTTTACAAACTTTAAAAACAAAAATAAGAATTTGATGAACATTACAGAAAATTCGTTTTATTTAGTTTATAATTACGTATTGCTATATATTCGAATGCAGATTATAGTTCCTAAAAACATAAAATTAATAAAAATTAGATCAAGAGAACGAAATACATAATTTCTGTGGATAATTAATTTAAAAGTTTTTCCCTTTCAATAGTTATTTTTAAATAATCTATTGTACGCTATTTAGGCACGACGCTCACAAGAGGCGTACCTAAGGGAGGGATTTCGGGTCCAGACCCCCCCAACATTGAAATTTCAACGTTTACATTATATACGCAATTCAAATTAAATTTAATAAAACTTAAAATAAAATAGTAATAATATTATAAACGTTTTTTGAAATCTAAACCATTTGTTATTTGCTATCGTATTTATCATATTAATCATAATTAATATTATACATTTTGTCTGTTGTGGCCTTTACTACGGACTACAAGTTGTAGTTCGTAATAATAACCATCGTTTTGTGGAGGTACCTGTCGTCATGATAGTGATTAGTGGCATCAAATATATTATAACCAACAGGTCGTGTTTGCTTGAACTACAAAAATCTATAAATAGATATAAGTATTTTTCCATTTCATAAAACAAAAATTATTAATAACAACTATCATAGTTGTAATCAGTAATGAGACAATAACCAATGGAGCTAATCTACATAATTTGGAAGTTGTTAATGTCAATTGACATTTATGTGATTTTGTGACCCGTTTTTTTTCATATTTTTTTGAAGATTATTGATTTTATTATGAATTCGAAAAACTTTTCCAAAATACAAAAGTTTTGCATTTTTTGACTATTTTAATGCATTTTCTTAGTTTTTATAGCATTTTTAATTTTTTGTTCATAAAAATGAACAAAAATTATGAAAAAAGGATATCATCCAACTAACGACTATCATTTTTGTTACAAAATATAAGACAACATATCCGGTGTTTCCGAATTGCGTGCGCCATTTTCTCGCGGCACAACCGAATTGCGTGCCGCGGTTTTTTTTTAAATTTATTAATTTTTAATGCATATTTTTGATATAAGTTTATATTTTTACGCATTCTTATTTAAATAGAAAATTGTTAAACAACCTTAATAGACTAAAAAAATTATAAATGAACAAATAATACATTTTGTGTTAATACATTAAAATAATATAAACAATTGTTAAACAACGTCAAAATATATAAGTTTCAAAACTTTTCAGAGTATAATAGATTTTTTTTTTATACTCATCGTGTCTGTAGTAGTTACTACTACTTACTACTAACTACTATTACTACTACTAACCTACTTATATCTCCTTCATGTAATTCTCGGTGTAAAATCTTACATGGCTTTTTAAACGGATCCTCCAAAGCTTTACGTTTTAATTTATTACTTACTTTTTGTCGAGTTAAAATATTGACATCATTTTTTTCGTGGTTGTGATTTAATACACTAAAAATAATTTCATTATTTTCATTTAATTTAAAAAATGATTTACACATACGTTTAGTGCATGCTCATCTTTGAATATTATTATTTAAATATTTGTGATAATGACATTTATGGCCATCAATTAAATATAGTTTTTTATTTTTTTCGCTAAACAACACTAATTTCCATTTTTTTTTTTTTTTATCGTTAAATCGGTTTGATTGCTAACTATTAACTGATTGTCGAAAATTACAAATTGTGTATATATTGTTGTATACTTATCAAATTATAATAATTTCCAATCGCTATTCACTAATCTAATCTCATTCCTCGGAAAAAACCCATATTACTATCGAATTTACTATACTTAGTTAAATATTACTATATTAAATTTACTACAGTATAAACTTAAATGATCAGCGAAAACCGGTCATCTATTCAAACTTGTACGCGTGAAATTCGAATGTGCCACGAAAAATACGCACACGCAATTCGGTTGTCAACCAACATCGCTTTTTTTTTTTGGCACGCAATTCGGATGCAGCCAACATATCATTAATACAATGTAATAGCAATTTATTTTAAATTATTATTTAGAATGAATGAAATATAACAGAACTAAACTAATAACAACGTACAATATTATAAAAAAAAAAAAAAAAAATACACTACTGTGGTATAATTTTAATGAATCTAAAAACAATCTAATCAAAGTTTAAAAAATTAATATCCATTCCATGAAAACTACGAATTCGTTATGTTCATGTCACTAATATGGTATAATTATAATAATTTATGGATAACCAAAGAATATATTCCTAAAAAAAGTCTTGAGTAAACGCTAATTGTTAGTAAAATGGGTGAGTAGGGCATTAAATTCTACCCACCTCATTTTTTTTAAATTCAAAAAACCTAATTTTTCATAAATATTTATAATCTTAAAAGTATAAAGAATAATATATAGTATATATATATATATATATTACAACTTTAAGTAAATAAAAATAAATGTAAAAGTCATATTTTGTGGATGAATGGTAATATATAAGTATGTATATATTATTTCTTCTTCTTCTTCTTCGTCTTTCTTCCAACTATTTGGGGTCGGTCACTCTTGTCCAAAACCTCCATTCGTCTCGATTTGCTACATCCCTTACAGACACATCAACTGCCCTCATATCATTCGTAATATAAATACGTAGTAGGATCAAAAAGTTCCCGGAATTTATTTATAGAAAAAAAACTATATTTCTTATCAAATATCTGATTATTGGAATTAAAAGTAGACATTATTAGCTATATATATATAGGTTTAGTTGTTAAAAGTACATTAGTCTCATGTGAGCCGTAATTGAGTCCATACGAAACTGTGTTTACACATTTTTTCAAAATGTCACAATTTGAACAACGCGCTAACATTAAATTTTGTTTTAAACTTGGAAAAACTGCCGCAGAAACGCTCGAATGCTTGAAAACAGTTAATGGTGATGAAGCATTAAAGAAAACAGCCGTTTATGATTGGTTTAAACGGTTCAAAAATGGCCAAGAGTCACTTGAAGACGAAGAGCGGAGTGGCCGGCCATCAACTTCAAAAAACGATGAAACAATCGAAAAAGTTAAAAACTTGGTGCAATCAGATCGTCGTTTACACATTCAAGATATGGTAAATGTATTAGGAATATCGTATGGTTCAGTTCAAAACATTTCAAAAGATGATTTAGGAATGCGGCGCGTTGTTCAAATTGTGACATTTTGAAAAAATGCGTAAACACAGTTTCGTATGGACTCAATGTATTACGGCTCACATGAGACTAATGTACTTTTAACGACTAAACCTATAGATAGCTAATAATGTCTACTTTTAATTCCAATAATCAGATATTTGATAAGAAATATAGATTTTTTTCTATAAATAAATTCCAGGAACTTTTTGATCCTACTACGTATGTGTGTGTATATTATTTAAAAATTTTATTTTGTACCAATTACAACATTTTCCATAAACAATCTTTTTTCTCCAGATTTGGAAATACCACTTTTCTTAACTTATTATCATTCGCAGACCTATATTTAAATAGCCATGATAACACAGAATCTGTTTGATGCCATTAAGAAAAGTACATTAATATTTATAAACACGAGGTTAGATATGTTCAGTACTGTTAACCTAAATTTGAGTAAAAACATTTTAAATTCATGAGACTAAAGCCTCACACTCAGCAGTAAAAACTGGTTATGTTTTATAAGCACATTTAATTCCTTTAATTCTTCATTTATCACAATGGCATTATGATCAATACATTTCTCATACCCTGAATAGCATTATGTATATTAATCAAAAACCATTGAGTCAAGTATTTTACTTTTTTTTTTTGCTTCTTTGACTTCAGATGTATATTCTCTGTTCTTTACTTTGAATAATTCTATAAATCGTAAGTAGAATAGAAATGCCAATTCTAGACCACTCCACACTCCACATATTCCACACGCAAAGTATGTAACGATAATTTGAAACATCGTACGGTTGTTTAAATTGTGTTTTTAATGGCTAAACTGGAAATAAATAGCCACCATGTATTTTTAGTTTTAAGTGTTATATTTATTTATAATGAAAATTGAACAACTTGAAAATATATTTTGAAATTGTGTCATTACATAACTACTCCTTGCTTTAATCCTCGGCGTTGTCTTCGCCGTCTTAGTCGGCCTTTTCGTTCTCGGTGTCTAACGTGTCGCGGGTAGACCTGATCGGATAAGAAAGCACAAGAGCGCTTTCAGACGAGACACTTTGTGGCCGCCCACAAGAATTGCGCTACA